TGGGGAAGCCAAGGCAATTCGGGATGGGGGAGTTGAATCTTTCGACGGATTGATTGAAGATAGATGTTTGAGTATCCAAGTCGGAGGGATCTATCCCTAGGGCTCCAACCATATCCTCAGAAGGTGGTTAGACCCCGCCGGCACCCACCCCAACCACCGTACCTCAGGAGGGTATGAACAGTGAACACACTACGCGTGGGCCTGGTCTGTTTCACTCAGGCCCCTTTCTCTCCAGGTGGCGAGTGCCACGGAGCTCACGATCGACTCGCCAGCCATCAGCAGCACCAGCGGGGCCAGCTTCAAGGTGCAGCCAAAGGTGCGGCCGAATCCGGGTGACGGATGGGTGTGTAGTGTGAATATCCATAAATAGGGAGACCCCCAACATCCCCCAACCAAGGAGCTTTCGTCTACTTTTCCTTCTTCCAGGGTGTCTTTGGGAGGTCTCAAGATTCAATTGACACACCCAGATGAGGGGGTACGTGGTGGTAAGAATGTGGCAAGATTCCAGAAGAAACCGACTGGACGAGTATGACAAACACTGGCAATCTCAGTTTGACATGGTTCGATCTGCTGGAGGCGTTGTGTCGTTTCTGAACTTATTTTTGCAAAGTTCAGTGCATCCTCCTTACTTAACTGGAGCCCTGTGTCCTTCCAACATGCAGCACTATTTGTTTTCACCATGGAGATGAGCAAGAGTGAGTTCATGTCATTTCTGTCACATAGTGCTGGGGCAAAGCCTTTCCCTGGTATCCGATGGGCAGCCCAAAGTTCTTTTTGAGTTGGAAGGATTCCATGTTGCAAGGGGTGATTTCCATGTTGACTACGGCAATTACTTTTCTACCTGAGGTGGCTCGCATAATTTCGCATCAATTCACATCTAAACGGGAGAGCTTTCTTAATCAAGTCTCTTGCTCTCGCCAGCTTTTGGATATTTTTTCGAGAGATCTCAAGATCGCCAGGTCGACCAGTCGGCCATGTACAAAGAGGTGCACCCCGGCACGAAAGAAATCAACATCCTGCCTGGTCGACTTCGGAAAGGTTTGGGAATGTGTTTGATTCATTCCACCTATGAAGGTGCCAACGTCATAGAAGATGGTTGATCAACATGCGATGCAACAGATGTGCCTGTGACCGTGCTTCGCTTGGGCATGTGAAGCCCGGAAATGGCCGCAAAGGACGGTGTTTTCGTATGCTTTCCTGCAGAAGAAAGAGCTAACTTGACACTTTTTTTGACTGCTCCTTGCTGGCAACATTGGTAGTACTCCCCCCCTTCGTTGTCCCTGCAAAAAAGAGTCTTAGCAGTCTTAGCACATCCCACTTCAATGGCTGGAACGTCTGTCCTCTCCGCCGGGCTCCCGCCGGTCCCATTCGCCCCGGCCCCGATCTCGCCGATCCGCTGCCGCGCGAGGGGTGAGGGGATGGAGGTGGCCTGGGTATGCCGGGTATCCATATCAACCACCGAACTTGGGAGCCCACAAGTACCATCAAACCTCTGAAACCCCGGTCGTACTGTTATTGTGCCGAACCTCCAACCTATTCCAACCTTGTGGAAAGAACGGGCGTGCCTACGAAGAAGCATGGCAAAAGCTTGCTTTTCGTGGAAAAAAGCACGGTAAAGACCTTCTTGACCTACCCAGAAAATCCCCGAAAAGCCTAGCTGAAGAACTTGCCCTGCCGTTTCTCCTCGTTTTCTTCCAACGGCTTGTTGTGGTTCGGCGCCCCAGGCACCGGGGCCTATGCAAGGGAAATTGTTTGGGGATCTTCCCCGAAGGCTGGGCATCGATCGTGTCACGCGCTATTGCGCGTTAGAAAGTTCATATTTGCATATATAGTATATAATGTGCGCGCTATTGTTTTTGTAAACATGTAAGCACATCAGGATGGTCAATGATTAATTATTATAATCGCTATTTCTGTTTGTATATGGTTCTGGATTTGGATGAATACTGTATCGTCCGTGAAGAGTCATCGATGCAACATCAGTTGGTATTTGCTGCACCCTGTGACTGTGATGTCAGTATTATGTATAAGTGTTTGGCATTTCCAAACATGCAGTATGTTTCAAAGATTCCAAACATGCAGTGCCGGACGGTTTCATGATGCTCCATGCAACGCAGTCAGACCGTCTTAAGCAAACCCCACGTACGTGGCACAGGGAACCTCGTGTCTACATTGGGAACCTCGTCGCAGGCGGCAGCCACGATCGGACCGACCTGTTACCACTGAAAGCTGGTGTGGCGGTCATCGCGCTCGAAGCGCATCGCTCCTCGGCGCATCGCGCCCCCTGGTGGGGTGGATTGGGCGTGCGGCCTCGCGAAGCGGCGCGGTTCTCCTTGGTGTGCGGCGGAGGAGGGGGTGGAGGCGGATGGGGGTGGAGAAGATAGGGATATGTAGGGATCGATTGGTTGACCGTGATAGACGGGGAACTGAAAGGAGACAATTGCCGGTGATTGCCAACATTGCGTGGACGGAACATTGTTTGCGGATGTTCAGGACTGGTTGAAGGTTTGAGTCAATAAGATCATTGTGACTGCTCCTAGCAAAACGTCAAACCCTGGTTTTGCGGATCAGGTGATGTTAGTATTTTCCCCGTTCAAGCCCCAAACCTGGGGAGTATGTTTTTACTTTTTCCAGGTTCAAGCAAACCCAAGAAACAATTCGTGTCACAGCTTGAGGTCCCACTTTTTGTACCCCCCAGAAGTGGTCTTTAGCTCGCAGTGGTTTCATGCTCGTTGCGTGGCGTGGCGCTCGGGTTTCATGGAGTCGCTCGCTCCACTGCTGAGTCGCTCGGAGCCTTGAGAGTGAGTAAGAAGGGTCACCACCGTCCTTTCGTTTGCAGACTGCAGACCAACATAGTGACATCCTCTAGTTTGGCACTGGTGAAATGTAGCCACTAAGTTTCTATTAAGTTTCTTTACAGCTAGGCTATGCTGGGATACATTTGCACTGGCGCACCGTGGCCTTGTTTTGCCGGGCGCACCCGTACGAGGGCACGGGTGAACGAACAACCGCCGCTCAGCCCGTCGGCTCAGCCGTCCGTTCTGTCATGAAAAGGGGAATTGATGTTTCGATGTGCCACAGGGCTCAAAGTTCGACCTGACAAGTTTAGGATTGCCTTGCCGGCCCCAGTGGTCCTGTGGATCACGCCATGACCGCAAAGGGACAGGGCCAGGCTTCGTCGCGTGGTTGTCCCAGGGTTCATCTCTTCGACCCATGGTATATCTATGTACCCAGACACTCCATGTATGCCATATATACCTACATTGACCCCTCAAACCACCCCAATGTAGGCATATATGGCATACATGGAGTGTTTGGGGTATATCTATGTGTAAATGTCCCATGCAGGTACAGTTTGTAGAAAGTGCTCCATAGCAACTTGGCAAGGGCATGACGTTTGCTCTTGCGCGAGGCTACCTTTGCTGACAGAGACATTTGCTAGCGCCGAATCTGTTGGAGTGGCCTCCAGTTGAAGGTAAATGACCACGTGTAGGTATACAGACCCCCAAATAGATAGAGACGTAGATCCCAAATAAACATGTATTGAAAACCGTTTCTATAAATCTATTTGGGGATCACTATATATAAGATATTTGGTGCTGTATTCTTGGATTTGTGGGTTCAGGGTGACATGAGGCCAAAATTTGGTTGGATTCTGAGGGAGTGCGATCATGTGCGATCTCATGATACCTAAGGCTTACATCATTTGAATGTTCCCATCGTCCCTGTGGGCTTGAACTACTTCCGTGGACATCAGTTGCGTGGTCTTGCGCAGTGCGGCAAGCAGTGCTATTGGACCCGCCAGGAGTGAGAAGAGATTGGAGGGTTCACATGGGTTCACGCTATACCTGGTACTATACCCAGTACCCCACTTCCTTTTGGCATGCAGCTGCTGCAAGCCCGAATCAGGGAGTTTGCTGTGGGGCAACCGTGAATTTCTGGTTGCGGTAATTCGCATGAGTGTGTGTGTGTGCGCACGGCGACTGTGGGACTCGCAGGAAGGGATGCTCCTTGGAGTGGCCATGCGTCCAACTGTTTTGATAGATATTTCAAGTGCAACCGCTTCCAACCTTTCTGCCACTTTGTCTCAAGAACGTGTCCCAACACTTTTACCATCTTTTACCCCTCTGGCCCCTCTATGTCCCCGCCCTGTTCCTTGCATTTCTGTTACTGTACGCATACACTGCATTCTTTCCATCACTAGCTGCCGGCCCTCGGTTTTCGGTTCGCAGTGGATGTGTGAATCGGGCGATCCCCCCGGGGCGACCATCCAAAGCTCAACCGGGTCGATGAAAGCCTCCCCATTTGGATTGAAGACCTCTTCATGTGGGGGTCTTGATGAATCAAGAGTTCACAAAGCTTATATGTAATAATTCCCTAGGGCTCCTGGCCCACTGGGGTGGGTGCCGGCGGGGTCTAACCACCTGAGGAGATGGGCCACGAGCCCTAGGGAATTAATACACACCATCTCGCCGATAGCGGGTGGAGAACGGCCAGAGAAGTCCACTCCTCCACGGATGAAATCGACGACCTCCCGACATCCTGAGGTTTGGCGGTCGAGTGGCTGCTTGGATTTGGCTCCGGAGTGGCTGGAATTGGTTGAACGAGTGGACTCCAGTGGGCATAGCCGAGCCTCACAAACCCACGAAAGGCGGCGAAAGCTGCTTTCGGCGGTTTCAGTTAGTTGGACTCCATGGTTTCAGACGTGAGAAATGGCACGTCTCAGCCGTCCTTGCTTGTCCTTCATCACCTAAAATTGGGATTATGCCTTGAAATTTGAGCCAAGAGTTCTGAAGAGTCTACCTGTGTATATATATATATATGTTGATCGACCGCGTATCATGTCAGGACGCCAGGGACTTTCATGCCCAAGGAGGAAAAGGGCCGCATGGATCGCGGCTTCGTAGGTGTGTGCTACCAACATTGGTAGCGGAGCTGGGAATAGCCCGGCTCCCCGGTGACTGGAAGTCGCTGGAGCGTTCGATCGACCGCGTTTTGCCATGGAATCTGGCTCTGGTGGACTTCGCTATTTTAGCGGAGAAGAGAGCGACCACCGCGAGTATCGTCGGTGGAAGCAATGGGTGCAGAACAAGATGAGAACGATGGACAAGCTGACAGAGGAAGCGAAGGGTTCCTTCATCTGGACGCTTTTGTCCGGTCGTGCTTTAGAAGTGGTGGAGCACCTCCGAGAAGAAGATTATCAAGTCAAAGGCGGCGACAAGGTGTTGTTCGATTTGCTTGACCGGCGTTGGCCGGAGCTGGACCGGACAGACGAGATTGGAGAGAACATTGCTGCTGTGTTCGCCCTCAAGGCGAAGGAAGGCGAATCTCTTCGCCAGTGGTGCGCTCGCTCACGCGAGTGCTTCGACCGCTGTGCCCGGAAGACCGGGGTGAAGTTTCCAGAGGAGGCTCGTGGTTGGATCCTCCTCAACTGCTCTGGGATGTCTGAAGGTGATCGTGCAGTTTGTTTGGCTCGGGCCCAAGGGGACCTGAAGTTTGACACTTTGTCTCAAGCAATGCGTTCCTGCTTCCCTGAGTATGTGGTGGCGAAGAAACGTTTCAATGCCGCTCACCTCGTGGAAGACCCAGCTGTTGAGCCACAAGACCCAGTTGAGGAGTCGTTCAAGGACGTGGAGTTGTTCCTGACCGAACACGGCCTGGCTGGTGAGTATGAGGGAGTTGATCCCGTTGATGGAGATGAATATGATGAAGAGGAAGCCGCTGAGATTCTGGCTGCCACTTGGCGTGAACGCCGAGCTGAACTCAATCAGGTGCAAAAAGGACGAAAGTTCCACTCTCATGACAAAAGGGGGACATCGTCGTCAGCTGCATCTGGCAAGGAGTTTCGACGCTCCTTTCGAGTTCAAGTTGAGGAGCTCAAACAGCGCACTCGCTGTCGACGGTGCGGGAAGATTGGACATTGGCAGCGTGAATGCAAGTCCCAAGGGGCTTCTACATCCGGCTCAACCCCTGCAACCAGTCATGCTGCAGGTACAGTGGAACATGTGCATGAGATGCCGGAGCATTTTGTATGTACAGCTGCCTCCGTGAACTTGCCGTCTCACGAGGTCCTTCTGGTGAGCAGTCCGGGACACGCCGTCCTCGACAGTGGATGTGGCAAAACCATCATCGGAGAAAAGACCCTTCAGGCCTTCGCAGAGATTTGGGAAACTCACAAGCTGCCATCGCCGCTGGAGAAGAAGGAACAGAATCGTTTTCGCTTCGGTAACGGGGAGCAAGAGACAAGCTTCCGTGTGGTGGAGATGCCGGTGTTCTTGGCCAATCGGCCTGGCTTTGTGACGGCAGCGGTTGTGCGAGGCGATGCCCCGCTCCTTTTGTCTCGGCCCGCGCTCAAGAAGTTGGGCGCCACATTGGATTTTGCTGGAGATTCATTGACATTGTTTGATGGCCAGTCGTCCCTTGCGCTGGAGACGAATGCTGCTGGACAATACACCGTCAACGTGTCGTGTTTTCCTGAGGATGCTGCAGCCCTTTTTCCAAGCCGAGTCAAGCCGTCCGAGAAGCCTGAGCCACCACCGGCTGCATGCCACTCGGTGCAGTTCGATAAACCCCCTGTTGGGAAAAAGAAGGATTTTTGGGAGTTTAGACCACAAGAGAGGCTCGTGATCCGACATCATCTGAAGCCTAGGCGAGCCCTGTTTACTCCTCATATGTCTCAGTGCCCTGTCAGCCTCGATTCGCTCGGTCCGACTCGTCTTACGAAGTTTGACGTTGTCACTCCGCACACCAGGGACCGTAGTGACTCTTGGAAAGATTCGATGGTCGCACACACCATTGCAGGACATGAGCCATGGACGGGACAGACCATTTTCAAGTTAAGTGAATATGCTATCCCGCCAGCCTTCGATGCTCTCGAGGAACAGCTGCAAGTGTCGCGCATGTCCGCTCGACAACACCGACAACTGATGGCGCAGGTAAGGGATCATTCGCCGTCTTCGAACGTCGGATCGTGGGACGTGATTGAGGTGTTTTCACCTCCTCGTTTTGCTTTAGAAGGGGCGAAACTGGGATACCGAGTCCTGTCGGCCGATTTGTGCACTGGTTGGGACTTCAGGAAGAAAGCTGATCGAGACCGTTTGAAAGAAAGCCTGCAATCATCCAAACCTCGCCTGTTGGTTTTATGTCCCCCTTGCACTTGGGCCGGTGGTTGGTGGCATTTGAATCGGTTGTACATGGACCCAAATGAAGTAGTGACTCGTGAAACATGGACTTCCTTGTTTATCCAGTTCTGTTGTGAGCTCATGGAGATTCAACTGGAACTGGGTGGAAGGTGTCTGTTAGAACATCCTCGGGATTCCGTTGCATGGAACACCTGGTGTCCGTGGATATGTGTTGCTATGGGTTACGAGTGCCATCCGGGCCGCTCATCCGCAAGGCCACTCGCTTGCTGGTGTCCCATGCTGACATGAGATGCCTGAGCAGAGCCTGTCCTGGTCCCGAGCACAAGTGTCATCAGACACATCAACCTGTGGCGGGCCACTGGCCTGGAGTAGGTTCCGTAAGCAAACATGCTGCCAAGTACACCCCGGCATTTGTCAAGGCCGTACTGAGAACCATGACTGAACTGCCGTCAGGAGTGTGTTTGGCAGTTCACGAGGATGATATGCATGTAGAATGCCTGGCCTCCCGCGCCATAGAGAAGCTTGAGCAAGAGAATGAACAGAAGCTGCACGCCAGCCTTCGACATCTCCATGTGAACCTGGGTCACCCCACAAATGCACAGATGCTTCGAATCCTCCGCCACGGTGGTGCGTCTGCGGGCGCTCTCGAAGCGGCTCGGAAATTCAAGTGTGACCACTGTGAAGCTCACAAAGCTCCAAGGCTGCCTGTTCCTGCTCAACCTCAACGGATCGTAGAGTTCAATGCACTCGTAGGCATAGATGTTAAGTATTTGCCCGGTTGGTCAGGAAATCAGCGAATCCCCACACTGAACATCTTGGATTATGCTAGTTCATTGCAAATCATGGTGCCGTTGTTCAAGAAAGAAACCGCACACAGCATTCGTCAAGCCTTCCAAGAACGTATCGGCACCATCATTTATGGCTTTATGAGTGAAGCTGACAATGAAACCGGCCTGAGTCGCTCCAGCCTTGGCGTTGCCAAATGCTGCATCCGAGTGACACATCAGTCCAAGGCTCTCTGGTTCAATACAGCAAAAACGAATGGTTTGATCAGCATGTTGTCTCGCTCGTCGAATCGCTTGGTTTGCTGCAATTGCATCAGCTACTGTCGGTTTGGGGAATAATTGTGAAAAGGAAACTTGAGTAGCTAGATCAGGCCGAGACTGATTGGCCAGCCAATTAAGACTGCCATTGATGGCCCGGAGACAGCTAATTTCCTTATCGGTCAGCGGGCTGGTCTTCTCTTGACACCTCTCTCGAGTTAGATGGAGGGGTCGGATCTTTTCTACGAACTGCGATTGACTCATGGTGATTTCACATGTCTTGTCACATTGAGTGTACTGTGCACCACAAAAATCACCTGACCCGGTTCTCCATTTTCTGAACTCAAAGGTGGATTGAAGCTTCTGAATTGCTTGTTGATACCCTACACCATCTCCCCCAGTGACACAATCGTCTACATGCACACCATATATACCGGTCAACTTACCCTTCTCCCGAAAATAGAAAAGGCACGAGTCGAATTGAGAACGTTCAAAACCAACTTGCAGTAGTTCTTGACATAGCTTCTTGTACCATGCAGCTGGGGAATCGTTCAATCCGTACACATGACCAACTACCTCAATCAAGGCGTCATCTGGCAGACCAGGAATACCGCCTGGTGGAAGGCGGGCGTAGAGCGGTCGGTATCGCTTGGGAAGGTTCCCGGCAGACAGGAAGGCGCCCTTCACATCTCCCAGGGCCATACGCCATCTATTGCTAGCAATCAGCTGAAACACTAGGTTTCGACCAACCTGAGACAAGGTGGGACTCTGCAGGTTGCCAATCTCGGCCTTGGCCGTGAGATCTGGGTCGAGGTGACCCAAGAGACACCATCTCGCCTTCATCCGGGGATCAGCACCATCTTCATGTTTGATGGTCATCACAAAACGGCTACCCATGATGCGATGGCTCAAATGCTTCCTGACTTCATCTGCCTCAGGGCCTAGGACAGGTCTGCCTGCATGCTTGGCGGTGATGGTACCCCATTCTAATACCTTAGCTTCATCGACCTTCTTCTGGATATCAGGGGGATTACCAAATGCAGGAATTTCTTTCGAGGACTTCTTCTTCATATAAGCAGCTACCATGACCTCATGAGGGGCACCTTCTCGAAACAATCGTACCAATGCCTTTTTGTCCTCTAGGAACAGGGAATCCGATGCTTGAGGAACCTGGTGTTTATCAAGTAGCTCAACTGAACAAACTGCCATCTCATCACAAGCAAAAGTCTGACCAGTCGGCTCAGCGAACAAGGCCTCATCAGGTGGATCAAAGGCTGGTCGCTTATCTGCCGGTTCGGCAGTAGTGTCATCAGCACCGTCGATTGATCGTTTGACACCCCGAGACGGCTGAGACGCCGAGGACGAGGCATGGCTCGGATCACTGGCTGCTTCTTCTGACAGGACTTGATTCACCAGTTCGGGAACGATTTCTTGCATCATTTCTTGGAAATCCTCTTGCAGCATGGGACCCGGGCGGTACAAGGCCATGGGACCATCCTTTTGATGGATCCGGCGACGAGGCTGACGAACAGGCCCATATGCCAGTTCAGATTCGGCAGACACTGGCTTTGGCTGCTCGGTCTGAGGTTCCTCCGGAAGCACCCATGACTTATGAACGAACTCGGATTGCAGTGGTTCGGGCACAACTGTTTGTGGAGCATCAACTGGCATCGGAACCGAGACACGATCAGAGATGGACTGGGGCTCTTGTGTTGCAGGGGCACTAACTGGCGGTGGAGCCAGGTCGGATTCCTCTGGATGGCTAGGGTATGAGTCTGGCACCAAGTCTATGAACTGCCTACTCGCCAACTGGTTGGTCTCGATCAAATGCTTGATACCTAAGAACTCCATTTGTGGGGTCTCAACTAGCTTCTTTTCATCCTGAGTAGACGGTCGAAGTTGCTCGGGGGCACATCGGAAAACTTGCCTCTTATGAATGATGACTGCATTTCGACCCACATACCCCAAAACCACTGCGGGACCACACCAGCGCCCCGATTTCTCAAGAGCACCATGTACCCACTTTTGAGATCTCCAAAAGGCAACATAAGTTCCGGGACTAGGTCTGTTGAACCCTGGGACGAGCGGCCAAAGCACGACGCAACGAGCGATCGTCTTGCAGTTCCAACACAGCACGTCGGGCGGTTTGCCGAATGGCTACCTGTTTAGCAATGGCTTCTTCGTAGAGGGCAGCAGTAGCAGGTATCACCTCCAGAGGTTCATCCATCAGATTCTCCGGTACCCGGGGGTTTTTGCCGAAAAATTGCGAGGGGGTCATCCCATAAACCTGAATCAACTGGTTCTTACAGTGTGCAGCATGGACACATTCGAGCCAGGCTTCTTGTGTGCGGGGTACGTGTTCAGCCATGATCTTTTCGAGAACTCTGGCAAACCACCCACCATGTACTTCACATTTCCCTAGCTGCCAATGGGCGTCAGCCGCTGTCAGCTTGAAAGTGGCGCCACCCTGTTCCATCGCCAGGGAGAATGCATCAGCGATGTTTGCGCGTGCAGGGTCACAAATGATCTCATGTGGCATGCCTGCCCACGGCGCCTGGTCTCCGGCTTATTGGAAGAGTTTTCGCCTTCCCAGAGTGGTGAATTCCACTTTAAGTGCCGAGGCTCAAAGCATGTCCGTGGCCTCCAGTATGGTAGAGTGGACGAACTTGATCCTATCCGAAGCTTTAGATGGCCCCCGATGTTGTGGAGTTTATGGTCTGGGTTGGGTAACCGCTTGACTCTAGTGATCACTGATTGTAAGTCACTTTATGATCATCTCCTCTCGCAGTCGTCGCCGACTCTCGACGATCGCCGTACCGCCATTGACATTGTGATCCTGAGAGACAGCATCTCTAGGATGAAAGCGTCCCTAAGGTGGATCCCCACGGATCGAATGCTGGCTGATGCCTTGACCAAAGAATCACCGGAAGCGTTTGACTTGCTTCGCGCATGTCTGAGAACCACCAGGTATCAGATCAGCCCTGAGGCACTTGTTCTGCAGAGAAGAGCTAGCGAGCGTGAGCGTCGAAAATCGTTCGCTTCGAAACAGGCCCCACAGCCTCCTAAGGAGGATAAGGCATGTTGAGTGATGACTTAGTTTTTGACGGGTTTTGCATTCGTGTGTTTCTCTTTACATGGAGTCTGGATGGGCGACTCCGTCATAAGTGCGTTGGAATGTTGTCAAATGTCAAGCACTCGTAATTCAAGATCATTTTTGTGTAGTACTTAGTTTGATCCCTGGCACACGCCTGACTGTGAGAATTTTTGATGCAGTGAGTTTGTTGTGAGCTCTGCTTTTGGACACAAGTCGTTTCGTCCGCAGAGCTTTCTCCACAGTTCCCGAGCGAGTACGAGCTTTGTTTGTTTTTGGCACCAATCGCCATGGCATCCAGCAAGCCATCGTTCACGTTGGCTGAGGCCGATGAATGTGTCCGCCTGGTACGGCTGGCACGCAAGGCAGGATGGTGGAAGTCCGTCTGGCAGCGGGTCGTGGATTTGGACGACCTTGCCGAAGATTTGTCATGGGAGGCCGTGTCTCCTAATGCCCTCGCTGGCTCGATGACTGACGGCTCCAAGCGCCTCCGTGATGAAGGCAGCGCGTCGAAGATGGTGACCTATGCGCCTGCCGGATCTGGCCATGATGTCATGAAGAATGTTCCCATGCCCTCGACAGGGTACCCTGTTGGAGCTCCGAGTCCTTCAGTGGCACTCCCAGATGGAGTACCTACCGTGGAACGGTGGGGTCAGACCCTTGTGAGTTTCGGGAAATTTAAAGATGCCAAGACATATGCAGAGCTTTTCGACTCCACGGATGCATCCATTGCGTCCTATCGGAACTATTGTGTGTCCCACTTCAAGAGTGGATCTCCGGGTCTGAAAGACCTTGTTTCGTACTTCAAGGCCCGTGGTTTGAATGATGCAAGTCAGTGCGTCATTCCTGGAAGCCATACCTCTCGGCATTTTAGAGAGGATTGATAGGAGTGTTGATCGACCGCGTATCATGTCAGGACGCCAGGGACTTTCATGCCCAAGGAGGAAAAGGGCCGCATGGATCGCGGCTTCGTAGGTGTGTGCTACCAACATATATATATTTGTAGATATCACTGATGCAGGGCGTCCTTGACTTCCTCAGCTGTCAGCTGCTGAAGAGAGACCTCAGGGTTCCTGTCAATGCGTGACAGTCACCCTTCACACTATGACCTTGCCTCCACCGGAGGCCTGTTTTATTTTGAGCATACCTGGACCACCCGATTCCAAACAAGTGTAACATTTCAAAGCGCAGGACTAAAAGCAACGCTGGTCTAAAAAAGAGCAACATGTACAAAAACATGACATGCCATGCCCCTGGAGAGGAAGACTTGGACCACAAATGCACTGGGGATAGATAATATGGAATATTCTCATGTGTTTTTCTTGAGTATTGGGCTTCAAAAACACCCTAGTCAAGCTGAAGTGTTTGTCATGTGTTCAAAAAGCGGCAAAATTCCACTCCGCAAGTTTCCGCCATAGACTTGTTTGTCAAATGTTGCAAGTCACGGCGCATCCAAGAGTGACCCCTTCATCAAACATTGGAATGCCAAAAGTTGAGCTGGAGAGTGTGCTGTGTAGGATTTAATCAATTCGGCAACCATATTGTGTCCTGTTGCACCACACGCAGGTCAAGACCCCCAAAGAGCACAACAATTGCACTTTTTTTGGCATGACAGTTCCAACAAGCATGTTTTTGCTGACTTATATGGCATCTTTTTGGCATACAAAGGTTGCTCCAGGCAGTTCTTTTTCTTCCATGTTGCCTTGAGTGAATGTTTCCAATAAATTCAATTGAGGCATTGACCGCATCCCCTTCCCAAAACCGTTGCGGTCCGCTTGGCCAGCCGTTTGGAGCCACCATCGTTGGGTGAAGTAAGGGGCTCCAACGTCGTTGGCTGAATGGGCTCATTTCATCGGGCCGGCTGGACGTGTTCAGATTTGGTGCCTCCATACAGTCACAAATCCCCCAAAAAGGACTGAGACGTGATTCAATCATGCAAAGCAAAGGTGACTCAATCGTGTGTTTTTGTTGGCACTTCTTCAACCGTTGGTCTAGCCAGTAGCCGCTAGGGTGCCTCAAACAAAAATACATGGACATCTGTGTGAAACTGAATCACCCCAGGCTACTGGCGTTCAGAACTGATCACCGCTACTGGTCACCGCTACTGGCGGTTACTGCATAGATGCTTTTGGATCCAAAAGCCGGTCTGAAGTGAGGTCATGGAGTTTGGAGCGCCCATCATGCCGCTCGGCACGTCAGATTCATATTCTGGGCAGATCCGGAGCAACAAGTCGATGCATCCCCATGTTCCCACGACTATCATGGTCATGCAATGACTTCACCTTCATCAGAGCATACTGGCTCTATGTCAGCCTCACGAGGTCCTTCATCTTTGTCAGATGTCTTTTTGTTTCTTGTGGACATGCGGAAGTATGCGGGGACTGCAGCGCAGGGAGTTCGTGTGAGATTGTGCTTTGGAGTGGCAAGTCTAGTTTAGTTGTCAGCATTTTTCTTTGGGGAGCCCCCATGCTACAAGCTGTGGGTGCTTAAGCCTGGCCTCATAAATGCGTTGAACATATAACTATATATATACACTTATTTATACATACATAGTTACATACAGATACAGATGCAGATCCAGGGTCATTTTATTGGAAACTTCTTAAGGCTCAGGAGTCAACAAGAGAAATCAATCAGACAAAGGCAGCCAGGTAGCCGTTGTTAGACATTCCGATCAGAACGCCTTTTCCCAATTTCAACCAAAAGACTAAAGAAGGACAGCTCCATTTAACAAAATACTTGAAAAAAGATGCTTCCTGCCTTGAAGTGCGCTTGACATGTTTGTAATTCGTTTGTGTGTATTTGTTGTTGTGTTCCAGATGTGCAAGCCCGTCTTGAGAATGACTCAGTCACTCGGATTTCTTTGATTGCATCGGTCGTCAGTGTTGATCTGATTCCCTTCCCTCCATTTTGCACAAATCCCAGACACTCCATGTATGCCATATATACCTACATTGACCCCTCAAACCACCCCAATGTAGGCATATATGGCATACATGGAGTGTTTGGGAATGAGTCTGGGAATGAGCAGCATGGAGCAACGAAAATTATTTTTGAAACAGATTTGGGTAAGAGGAGGGTCTCGTGGGTCTTGGTCAACTTGCTGATCAGAGCAGTTCTGCTTGGATCGAGCCTTGCTCAGGATTTCCGAGGACCGCGGATGGATGGGGCCTAGACAACCCATTATGTCAAGTGCTTTTTTCTGTCAAAACCATGGAACCGAACTTGATAGAACTTGATCAAGTTGGCTTGTAATGTCAACCTAGGATTAGTAAACCTCCTCTAGTTAATCCGAGCCCATAACCAGGTCAATTTTTCTTACTATACTGCTGCTGCTGCTACTCCTCCTACTCACTGCTGCTGCCACTGCTGCTACTGCTACTGCTATTCATACTCCTACCCCTACCCCTACTACTACTACTGCTACTACTCCTACTCCTGCTCCTGCTCCTGCTACTGCTACTACTGCTACTGCCACTGCTACTGCTACTACTACTGCTTCTACATACACTTACTTAATACTTACTACTACTTCTACTCCTACTACTCCTACTACTGCTGCTGCTGCTGCTACTACTACTGCTGCTGCTACTGCCACTGCTACTGCTAGTGCTACTGCTACTGCTAGTGCTACTTCTTCTGCTACTACATACACTTACTTACTACTTGCTACTACATACACTTACCTACTCCTACTTCCTACTACCTACTACCTACTACCACCTGCTATCCCCTACTGCTACCTACTATTCCCTACTACTACCTACTATTCCCTACTACTACCTACTACTACTCGCTTCTTAGCCGATTAGCAGGCTATTCAGGGGAGGTGGACCTCATGAATGGTACCTCAGACTTTCTGAACCTTGTTGATCTTCCACGTGGCGGGGGAGGGGGTTGATTTGTCCGCGGCTTAAAATTATGCTATATGCATTTGGATTTGCGTCACCAAAACAGTGTAGATAGATATATCCCACCTCCTTTTTGAATCCATGCGTGGATATTCTGTACTGAAAATGGTTCCTCGGAAATCGGGATGAGAAAACAAACCTTATACATTACGAATGATTGGGCCGAAAACGCCATCGGTTTGCCGCTTCAGGGCCCCAAGAACACTCTGTCATCGCACTCCTGCAACATCTCTACCATCCTGAACCCCCCAGAAGAGTCTGAAGAGAGAACCCAAAACGAAGCGAAACAACCGACCACGACTCGGCCGTTCTGTTTGGACCACGACTCGGTCGACGTTCGGACCAAGCGCCGCGCTTCTCGCGGCGTCCCGGAGGAGATCCACGCGTCCTACGAGACCAAACGCCGTGAGGCCACGGAGGAGCTGCTGAACCTGGTGGTCGCGGCGATGCGCAGTGCCGCTCAGCGGATGAGGTCGAGCTCCGTGCGGTGTGCGTTGAGAAGTCTGGCCGCGAACCGGGTGGGGAGATGGTCGGCCGATGGCTGTGAATTCGGTGTGTATGCTTAATGGGTACTGGCAGAGCCGGCCAATGGGTTTGAGTCTTTGGTATTAAATTCATATCGAATTCGAACCACAATCACAAACACACAAAACACAAACACAGAAACCACACGCACAACCACAATCACAAACACACAAACACACAGACACAATCACAAACACACAATCACACACACAACCACAACACATGACCACAACACTCAAAAACAACCACAACAGTTTCCTGTGTGTGGCAAGTGGTTACAGGGTAGCACCCGCAACCCGGAACGAACATCTGACACAAAATTACCTAACCGGAGGACCCGCAAGCAAAGTTGAACACCACAAAGCTCACGACCATGGCAACATGCTCCTCACCACCGCAAGAAAAATGATTGAATTGTCATGGTGGGGATCACTCGAAGGAAGTATTTTTTTTTTTTTTCGAAGATCACTCATTTTGAGATGGCCTGCCTAACCATCATCATCCGCTGGGCACTTGCCTGATGATGAAAGGACAGGAAACTCTTTTTCCATACGGACAATTCTTTTCATAGTCTTTGGTTTTGAGGCCGTCGCTATGGAGGCCATCACTATTTGGATGGAGATCGCTATTAGGTTGAAGGCCATTGCTAGTAGGTTGGAGGCCATCGCTATCACTGGCCTGGTGATGAATTTTGGCTGTGGGTTGACGTCGACGACCGGGGACTTCCAGGATTTGAAAAGGAACATTGAATAAACAAAGACTCACGGTCACCAGGTCGCCGGAACAACAGAGCTCCAGGTGTTCCTGATCTGGATCTTTCGATTTCCACGAACTGGGTAAATCCCCTTTTGGTGATTTGTCCCAGGCTTGGACAGCAAATCCAGGTTTTTGACCCACAGCCATATCGAATCTCTCCCAGATGCGCAGCCAGAGGAACCTTCACATGTTTGCTCGGTGGCTCGGGTGGTCCCGACCCCATGCAGGCGATGGTCCCGAACTGGGCTGTCGTATTGACCCATGAATCGGCCTCAATATGTCCAATAACCCTGACCATCCATGGGACTAAGTAGCATATTGACCCACATTGGGGTGGTCGAACTGGGGTTTATGTAGGTAAATCTTCCAGTCCCATGGATGGTCTGGGAAATGGTTGCTGATGGTTTCTGTTGATCCTTGGAATCCGTGTGCTCCTCCTCCGAGATGTGGGGCTCCAATCGCGAATCCTCACCACCTTTGTTTTCACTCGTGATGGACGATCAAAGCAGGTCCACCAGAATTCGTTGCCTCCCAAGAACGGTTGTGCAAACCAGGATTCGTTCACTCTCTCAGGTGATCATCCCCACTGAGGACTACAAGACCTTACAGCAAATCTTTATGGTGCCTTGGGTCCCCTGAGGATCCGCACCTTTCAACGGCGGGGTCGATCCGGGCCGAAGGATAGAGGAACCTTCCGGTCCGACCGGAGACATCCTCCGGTCTGCCAGCCTCTATGACTGGCACGATGAATGATCAAACGTTTTAGGAGTCTGCTGGTGGAGGACGTCAGGGGTTCAAGGATTCATGGAGTCAGTTTGGAATTGTGGTTTGAACAGCCCATGGTTTTGCTCAAGCTGAAGAGTATAAACTTAAAGGCGGAAGGGTGGAACGGGCAAACGTAAGAACATAGTACCCACAGGAGTGGATCATGACAGATACTGTATATATATATACACTGTATATCATAAAGGTATACATAGGTGTGCATATAGAAACATACAGTACACCATAAAGTATGTATGTATACACCTCAAACTATGCACTCTGTGTTGGTCACGCGAGTGGTCATGCGACACTCGACAACCTGATTGCAATGCAACCCGTCATGCGCACACCACAGTGCATTCGGCCGCAGTTGGCCACACAGCGCTGCGCAGAGTCGAAACTCGACTCCCGATGGATCGGCGGATCGGCGCCGGATGAAAGGCACGGCGGTTTGGATGTGGGTCCGTTTGGATGCATCATCATCCAAAGAAAGGTGACTTCAGGGCAGGGAGCTTGTGGATGTGGGGAGTCCCGAGCTTGTGATGATGCATCAGTTTGGTTTTTACTTGTCCAACAGCGGGTTTTGTTCATTTGGTGACCTCGCTAAGTTGGGAAAGAGTTACATGCTATCAAGGTAGAAAGATGAAGAGACATGCACTTGCAATTTGAAATGTCCAAGCTCCAGCCATTTAACTTTTAGCAGTGCACGGAATCATTCAGTCGAAGAGCCTCCACCCCAGTAAGTGCAAACAGGCCCATTTGTCCTCTTGAAACAGTTGGGCTTGAACTTCCCAGCACCAAAGCATCTATTCCAAGCACCCGGACGGTCCCTTGAGATTCGTATTCCAGTCCCATGCATTGCAACCCAGAAGTGCTTTGAACTTGCCCAGAATTGCTTCGCCTCCGTGGCTCCAGCGGAGAGAGATCCTTTTCTTCGATCCCCCAGCGCCTTAACCATGAAGACCTTGCTGACGGAGGAGACCGTGCCTTTGACGGAGGAGACCGTGCGATCGACCGGTAGGAACTTCAGTTTTTGATGGGCTGTCCACCGCTAGTCCAAGCAGGGTGAGTTGCTGGATTTTTGTTTGTTTGGAATAGCTTTAATTAGGCTGAAAAGGAAATTAATCCTTTGTTCACTGCTAACGTTTTTCTTGCTAAGTGACCATTTTCCAGATTATCCTTGATAGATCTTGATAGATCGTCATTTATTTCTGTCATCGGAAGCCATTTGCATGGCTAGTGCTTCGTTAAAATACACACATACAAGTACAGCACATAATCAATTACATATATACATCTAGTATATAAATATGCACATGGCGGTTGATCTAAAATCCTGTGTAAGGATGTGTAAGGCGTTATATATATAACAGCCTTTCACATGTTGTTACAACCATCCGCGAAAGATTCGCCATGAGGTCTCGCAAAAGTATCGCTGGTTTTTGTCGCAAAAGATTTTTCAAAGGTCTTCGCTTTCACTTTTTTCCTTTCGATTCTACCGACCGACAAACGGTAGAAATACAAGGCAATCCTCGGGCAGCAGGTGCCCGCATGTCGCCACTGTCACAGACTGACGAACTGAAGGCTCAACGTTTCCTTGCCCAGCAACCTGAGTAGGCACAGCCCTGACAGTGAGGCGATGACCTGCAGCTTTGACGGCAGATATTTGCACATGATACGCCTTCCCAGGGGAAATCAACAGTTTCGCGAATGCGCCGCTAAAGTCCAGGTTCCCAGCTTGAGGTCCCCCAACATGCCCCAAGCTGCGTCACGGTGTGTTGGTAGCTGGCGCGAGGATTGGGTTGAGTTGTGCCTGACTCTATTCTAAGCCTCCGCCAGGACTTAGGAGACTGTTTGTCGCACAAGCGTCGCACAGATGCCGCAGGTGATCCCGAGAAATTGTGGAAACTCTAAACCGTTTGCTGGGATCATGCTGCAAGATGTCAGTCATCATTTTGTGATACATGAATAGTTCCTGGTCATGTTAACTAGACATGGTTTTACGACCATGCTTCGTGATGAGGCCGCGAAGCATCCGCAAAAGATAATAAGGATATCTCTCAGCTCTATATATATCTATAAATTCTTTCTGTGAGGAATGGCCATTCCAACATGATATTTGTTTGATCAACGCCCCACACCTAGGCGCTATGGTACTAAGGGCCTGCACACATTGAGCTAAACTATTAAGCATTGCCGTTCACAGGTGGGCAGCCACAAGGTAATGCTGGAGCAATTGAAGACCTTCATCTGAACTTCATTTGCTGTTCCCCGCTGTAGGTTCACGAGTACATTGCTTGGTCGATCGACCCAAAAACCCGTTCAGATGTGTGTTGATTTTTGGTGAGCGATTCAATGTCGGGACACCTTCCTTCAGGTCCCTGACAAGCTAATGAAACATCGGCAACGTGAGAATTTGTAGTTTTTTCCTTTTTGATATCCTTGCCCAACCCTGAAGCAGCACTTGATCAGAATGAGTGAGCAGAAACTGATGCACAAGCCAGTGCATGGCCAAATGATTTGGCAGATGCATCAGGCTGAAGAAAAAGCACCTGATCAAGAGACGAAGTCAGACGTCATCCTCCTTTTCTAAGGTGAAAGTGCCCAAGGGCTGCAAGATCACTGTGAAGTCCAAGATGCATGGCGGTTATTTGGACCATCCAATGGGTGTCCAATAGAGATCCCTAAGTAGTGCAGGGGTGTAGGCTAGTCGACATCCATTGGATTGGATGGCAATTGTATTTTTTTCATGTTTCGCACCTTGCAGGCAGCCTTCTTATCAAAGGTCCTTGGATGGATGGGTGGCCTTGAGATACCACTTGCAGTAGGGATCATGCATTTATATACCCGGATACCCATATGCTTAAAGCCATACACATGCTACATGTCATGTGTTTTATCCAACAACCCAGGCGTGCGAACTTCGGAAAGCACCATACAATATGGGCGGGGCGATGTCTGAAAAGTCTTGGACACATGTTTTTTTGGTGCCGCTGTCCGCATCCATACATCATCATACATCCGCGCTTGCCCTAATGATTGGACTTGTCGGGTTTCGAGGGCGTGTTTGCTTCAAGATCTTGGTACGGTTCTAGAACCATAATATGCAGAGCGGGATGGTGATAGTGCTTTGGGCGTAGCATCACTTTCTGTCCAAATTCCTGAGATTCGGAGGATTGTGGAGGTGACTGGAAAGCATGGTAGCTTGAAGCGAGATTTCAAGCATTTGCCCATTGAGCTCTTTCTGTCCAATGGTGGCAAGAAGGCGCAGTCCTGTCACACAGTCCAAGCCCCTCAAGTGCTCTTCTGAGATGCCTTTTTCGGGGGAAAGGGGAGTGGGGCTTGTTGGTTCTATGCAGCTTTCAATATCACACAGGAGATCTAAAGTCAACGGCATGACGTTGCTTTTGGATTAAAAAGGCAGGTAGGAGTTATATATTTGGATATCGATGGATGTTCTTGGACTGGATGGGTGCATCTGGACCGCCAGGTGGTGGCGCGGATGTATTTTGCCAAGAGCAAGCAGTGCTCCATGCTGAATACGGTGTCCTGGTTTGGGTGGATTTGGCGATTCTGAGGTTCCTTTGGGTTAATACACTTTTGGGGGGAAAGGCATTGCGTTGGCAGAAGCGGGTTGTGACTTTTGCGCGAAGACACGAAGACACGAAGACACGCGAAGACGCGAAGACGCGAAGACACGAAGACACGCGAAGACACGAAGACCCGAAGACACGAAGACAAGCGAAGACACGAAGACACGAAGACACGCGAAGACCCGAAGACCCGAAGACACACGAAGACACGCAAAGCCACGAAAACGCATGAAGACCCGAAGACACGAAGACACGAAGACTTGCGAAGACACGAAGACACGCGAAGACACGAAGACACGCGGAGACACGAAGAGGCTTCAGGTCTTCAAGGCTTCAGGTCGTCACCAGGCTTCAGGTCTTCAAGCCTTTAGGTCGTCACCAGGCTTCAGGTCTTCAAGGCTATAGGCTTCAGGTCTTCAAGGGTTCATGTCATCGCCAGGCTTCATGTCTTCAAGGCTTCAGGTTGTCACCAGGCTTCAGGTCTTCGCCAGGCTTCAGGTCTTCAAGGCTTCAGGTCGTCACTAGGCTTCAGGTCTTCAAGGGTTCATGTCGTCGCCAAGCTTCATGTCTTCAAGGCTTCAGGTCGTCACCAGGCTTCAGGTCTTCAAGGCTTTAGGTCGTCACTAGGCTTCAGGTCTTCAAGGCTTCAGGTCGTCACTAGGTTTCAGGTCTTCAAGGCTGCGGCTTCAGGTCGTCGCCAGGCTTCAAGTCTTCAAGGCTTCAGGTCGTCGCCAGGCTTCAGGTCTTCAAGGCTT